ATATATATATGCTCCAAGTGTGAGCTGATCATAAGATATCAGGTAAGACACAGCCCCATAATCCCCAATATTGACATAAAATACTTTCTAATAATTAAGTATTGCACATTTTTATTGTCATCAACATGTCAAACATTAATTCATGCCCAAAAAAAGGCTAAACATCCACATTACAACTTTATATCACACATAAAAGAAATGATAAACACTTTAAAGACAAGGTGAAAACATTCGGTCCTCATATTTTTAGATTTATTGTACATCTACCAGTGTTTCACAATCACATCAGTCCTACAGCTTCATCTTAACAGGGCTTCTTTAAAAAAAATCCTGCCTAGTTCATAAATTTAAACTACAATTTGTGTGTAATCAACAGTTAAACTGGTTCTTCACTACAAATGTAGAATAATGGCTTTTGAGTTTAATATTGAACAGTACAGACAAACTGCACAATTATTGGGTTCACTAATGTCTCTGCACTTTAGTGCAAATCATAGTTTTTATAACAGCAGCTGATTCTCTATATCTCTACAAAAAAATTAAAAACAATCAACAATAAATTTCTGTTCATAACATTAAAATCCATATTTTTCTCATCTAAAGTGCATGAGTGACACAGATGCTGAAACTGCAACTACAGAGCATAATTATCCAACAACTATGTAATACTTTTTAGTGTGTAGTACTATCCCATCCCCCACAAATTCAGATTATTTAAATGGCTATTTTTGGAAAATTAACAATGCCTATCCAACATCTGTGAAGAAAATATAAAGTGTTTATGTCAAGCAGACAGAAACCTTTTTTTTTTTCATTTCAAGAAAGCAATAACATCTTGAATAGTGCAGATTTCATTGGCATTGTAYGTCATCAACCAGCCAAATAAGGCAGCAGAACCTAAAATAACTAACATTTACCACCAAGCACATCATCCTTATGAGCTTAAAGGTCAAAATCAAATAAAAGCTGGATAAATAAACTATTTCTTTATCTTTGACTTAGAAAAAATAACAAATACAAGTGCAATCAGGCTGTTGGAGAAAGTTTAGGAAGTTGCAGTCAACTAATCTGTAACACACATACTCTAATATTGTACAGAAGTGAGTTCATTTGTTTAGCTTATTATATCTATATATCTATATCTAAACTTAGCATAAACAAAGAAATGTTTGGTCAATTTTTTCTTTTTTGTAACAATGCTTCCTGGTCATAAATCTTATATCATTGGTAAGCCTGTTAAATTTATTTTTAAATGGTGCCACATTTGTAAGGAACATGCCTTTGTGGGATGAGCAGCAGAGCTGAGTATGTGGGTTGCACACATGAAAAAATTCCCAAATCTTCTCTGCCAAACAGCTTATTTTACTGTTACTATAGTATAGACACTTGTTTTGAGTTTCTATTACCCCCAAGTGCTGCCGATCAGGTGCCCTGTAAACGATTTATTGCCAAGAAGCTTTGTTACAACAAAGAAATAATCTATCAGATTTTCTTTCTTTTTGTGCTAAGTTTACATCAAGCATCATCCCATTCAAACACACTCTTTGCCAAAAAAATAAAATCAAATAAATAAATAAGAATTATTAGATAGGATATTGTTCTATTTGACGACTATTTCACAATTTTAAGGAGCGACAGATCACATCAGCACAGGAGAAACATAAGGAAACTTCCACCCAAGCACAGTTTCTGTTTTCATCTCTGCTAAAAAGAATGTACAGATGAGATTTTATTTCTGTTTCAGTTATTGTGATATTGCTATCAATGCATCTACTTTCAGAATTAGGCTTTGTCCACACAGAAACTATATATAATTTTTCCTTCAAAACAATCTTTGTTCTTGTTTTCTAACAATACTCTCATAAATAACACGTCATTCCACCCGAATACTTAGAAAACTATTCATGATGCTGTAGTACCTATGCTAGGCCTGTATGTGGCACTGCAATGCAACCAAAAAAAAAAAAGCATCAGAAACAGGAAACAAGGCATGGAGCATGCACAATGAAACCATAGACTCCATGTATTTTACTGTACAGTCTGTGGTTTGAACCGTTAACACAAGGGAAAAAATGAGGGTGGCAAATACAAGAGCAAAAACTACAAAGTGCWATTTCTACTTTAACTATAAATTAAAATACACATTCTTTTTCCAGCTGTTGCATCATGTTAATTCTAGTTCTTATCACACTGCTGTACTTTCAGCACCCAAAATCCTTTTCCACATTGAAACCTAGTCTAGAAAAATACCATTAGGGGCTCCTAAAACGCCATTTCACATGGATGCAAGGCTGAAACAATAAAAAAAAAWTATTACATAAACAAAAATTGTTCCCATGTGGATGGGCCTAAAGCTTTGAGAAACACACTAGCACTAAGAAATGTTTGTGCTTTCATTAAGCGAGAAGCATAAAAAGTGTCGATWATTGGAAAAGGACAGCACAGTTAATTTATGGTTCTTCTTTGATTCAATGCTAACACGGACAAATTTTAACAGACACTTCTTTATGAAGTAAAACTGTGCTAAAACAATCCCAGTCATGCCACAAGAAAAAAAAAGAGATTGATTTCAAGTCAGGAAAAAAGTTATATTAGCTTCTTCTTCTGCTTTCAGTGTGTTTTAATGCAGATGTTTCTCTCCATCAGTTGTTGTTCATGATCCACCAAGAAGCTGTAAAATAAAACGTATRACGCCACTTTTTATTCTCAAACCAACTAATAATTGTTAATAATCTATAAGTAATTATAAGCATTACATTTACAGCTTTAATTTAGTTTAAATTGCCTCTTTAATTATCGGTTTCCTACCTGGGAGAAGCATTGTGGAAACGATTTCTGGTTCCTCCAGCGAGTCACTAATGCAGCGCTGGAAAGTCTTGCTGACGGACGACTGCAGATAGCTGAGGAAAAGCAGAGATAAATTTCTTTCAGYGCACTTCAAAGAGAGTTTGAAAGCAGCTCTGTGTCCTGGGCACACGTTGGCTGAGCGGCGCAAATCTCCACGCATGTTGTTCCGCTGCGACGYGCAACAAAGCGTGCCAGAGAGGCGTACCTCATCCAGGAGAGACGGTCCTGCCAAAACTCGTACATGATGAAGCATGATCTGTCTGGCAGGTTCTGGACCGAGACACTGCGAACAATAAAAATAGACAGAGGAATCAGGAGGAGAGGGRGAGAAAAAAGATGGCAGTGTGAATGATCAGTGGCACGTCTCGGGAAATTGTAGCAATTTCAAACACATGCAGAGATCCAGAGGCAAAAACATCAAAAAAGGCAGGAAAAAAAACATAGAGAAAAGGCATAAAGAGAACATACTGAAGGTTGTTCAGCTGGCTGGCAGTGGCATCGGTGTAGATTTTGAAAGCTTGATGAAACTGCTCCACATCGCGCTCCTTCACAGACATTTGCCTCTGAACCAGAAGGATGTTCTGAAGACAATAAAACATAACGATGCTAAAAACGTTAGCGTATCTTCAAAAACATGATTCTAAAGATTTGAACCAATTGGAATATTATAGAGGTTTGCATTTATTAAAAAAAAGATAAATATTCTTTGGCCATAAAAAGGAAATTACTATTTGAGGGTGTAATTTGAATAAATTCATACATTTTAATAAGCAACTTTCTGCTAGACTCACCGATTTATATGTTCCTGCCAGCGTGTCTTCTTTAAGAGGTTCAAGATGTGGACTCTGAAAAAGGGGGGGCATCAATTTTTCATTACAGCTTTCATCATTTTTACACAAAACGTCCAACAGCTTGTAATCCCTTCTTTGCATTGTGGCTGACATCTCTAATTCACTTGCATTAATGCAATGTTTTAGAGCTAATGGACACCTTATCTATTATTTTTAGATGGTTATTAGAATTTAGGAAAACTATATGCTTTTGGTGAAATTATTCGCTCAATCGCAAGTTTATTTTAATGCCACTATGTTGTTCTTAGTGTTAAATTGAGTACCTTCCACAGTCASAGGATAATACTTTTTGTGTGATTTTCACTGTTTATCACAGTTTGATTTTGCATTTTGAACTAATTAGCATGGATGTTTTTTTCTTGCCAGAGGGTAAATTTTGCATCAGCAAACCCTGAGTGTGGCTCACACAGCTTAATTAACTTTTTTCTCTTGTAAAAACACAGCTGCAAGTAAAACCTCTCTCTCTCTCTCTCTCTCTCTCTCTCTCTCTCAAAACATTCAGCTGAAAACAAATGTCTTTCTGGAAAACTGACTACAGCTTCCTAATATCACACCAGTAATGTGGCCAATTAAACTGGCTCAAGTGGGATTTGTTTTTAACACGTAAAGCCTTCTTCAGTASAAACGCATAGCAACGCAGTTTATTTGTCTTCTTGGAAAGAAACGTTCGACATCGCCGGAAATTCAAACCATACAAAACAGACAATTATTTACAAACCTCACACTCCATTTTGTCTACAAGCTGCTCCAGCTGGTTGATCTGGGAGCCCCAGTGATTGTCCGGCTCCACGCTGACCCCTGACCCCAGAAACAGAAGTAAGTTACGAGTCAGAGAATTAAATAAATTCTTTACAGAGCGATCTAACCCAGAAGTTTATTCATATTTTGTTTTAAAAAAACGTTTTTTAACAGTTTGATTTTCCTGAAAAGTACCTGTAGTGAGCATGCCGGAGTAGGGGTCTGTGGGGGAGAGACACATGTTCTTCTGGATGCGTCTGCTGGGCCTCTTGGTCGCTCTCTGGATCGGCAGGTCCTCTGGCGTCTTCAGAACCCTCYTCCCTGTGCTGCCGTGGTCATGAACCGCCTCCATGGCACAATCTAGAGAGGACTGGAGAGACTGAAGCTGGGTGGAGGTTTCCCTCAGCAGGAACCGTGTCACAAACTGACCCAGGACTGACGAACCCTGATACTCCTGCAGTGAGAGAAGAAGAGTAAACATTAAACCAAACAGCTCACCTGCTTCTTTATTCAAGTGAAACATAWAAAGAGACACTTCACATATAGTTAAACATGTTTGATTTTGCTGTGAGAATGTTTCCTGTATTTGAAACCAGAGCAGGGATGGACATTTGGTGTCCCAAAAKCAGCTCTAAGAATAATTTTTGAAAATTACAAAAAGGTATCGAAGTGCCTCAGTGGCACTGGATTGGTTTTATTGACAAAGTTTGCCACTAGATGGCGCCTGCTCTCGCACACATCCCCTCTACCAATGAGGAAGAGACATTCAGCCATGGCTAAGAATGTAGGAAAGAAAACTGTACAGATAAAAATGCATGTTTCAGGCGAAATCTGTTCACAGGATTTTAAGGCAAACCTGTGTTTAGTCTGCTTAGAGACGCCATCTGCCATGAAGGATTTTAGTATAAGCTACCGCTACATGATGTTGCACAAAGCTAAATATGAGAAGTTTACTGAAGTCACAGCCCGAGGGCTGCTGTTGTAAACAACCTCAAAACGTACAAAAACAACAGCAACTTTTTACCACAACCACGCAGAAGTCTGCACTCGAGGCATCTTATGCCGTTGCACTTCAGCTCGTTAAGGTAAGTGTTTATTTTGTTTGCTTCAGATGTTTTATATTTATTTTTTATGAAACAAAGGTACAACTGTTATACATGTATTTCAGCAAGAAATATGTTAAGTTACTGCATTGTGTGTTAATAAACCTACACATACATAAATAGCAGTGTAGCGCAATTTTTATTTTTATTTATTAACAGGTCCCCATTAGTCTCTGCCGAGGTAGAAACTACTCTTCCTGGGGCCCAACATACAAAAATGAAATATAATCAATACAACCAACAAAACAAATATATCAAAACTAAAACATAATTAAATAAACAAAAAATCAATTAAAATTAAAAGCCAGCGCAAGCCTCACAAACAAGGAACATTGACTTGAAAACCTGAAAACATGAATCAACTGGCTTAATCTCTCAAAACACTACATCATGTATATATATATATGTCCAGGGAACACCACGAACCAATAACCAATTAAACAATAAGCACCTTCTCCTCCTTAACATTATCTATCTTTGAATAACCAATCCATAAAAGCAGCTACAGTATGTGGCCCTTTGGTATTGTCCACAAAATATTGTGGCCCCTTCCATCATTTAAGCTTCCCATCACTGAACCAGTGGCTTTCATTGACCCAAAAGAATGATGAAACATGGTATTAGAGTGATATTTCAGACAGGTACTTCTGTTAAAAKTAYGGTTTTACAGCAGGGTAGGAAAACAAACAAAATTAGCCAGCAACGTTAAAAAAAAACACTGACCCTGTCTTGGATAATGATGACACGAGGAGAACACACATATTATTCTTACAATGATAAATCAAAAGCACGTACAATAACAGCAATCTGTCTCACTGACTGTACCTACAATATTTTCAGCACCGTGTTTCAACTCCTCATTTTCACAAGAAGCACCCTGTGGTGCAACAAATAGAACTGAACAAAAACAAGGAGAAAACATTTAAAACAGACACAAAATTTGTTTATGCTCAATTTTAGAGCATCATTTAGGTTTTTTCTTTGCTTCTCTTCTGTTTTTTTTATTGCTGCAGACAATCAAGTGAATATGTCTTTATCTCACTGCAACACATCAGTGCAGAAAATATATCAAAATCAATGGTCTGTGGATTTCATCAGTGTGTGTTTTTTATACTTCCAGGCATCATAAATCATTTCAGATTCCCATATAGCTACAATATATGCCTAAAGACATTTGACATCATCCTAGCAGCGCTATAGGATCAGCTAGTGGAGCAGTTTCTTTACTGATATCTAACAGACCTAAGAAGAAAAGAAAACTCTACTTCAGAGCAAATAAAGCTTTCTTGCCAAGTAACAGCAACATGAAAAATGCATGAGCCGTAGGAAGACATGTTTGATATAGAAAAGGGAAAACAGACAGTCGGAGAGACACTGTTGGAGAAGGCAGAGAGAGCAGCTAAAGGTGTAAAAAAGCACACACATAAACCCCAAAGTAAATAATGGAATCAGCGTGAAATAGAATAAATGATAATTTATAACAACAGGGCTCTTCAGCATTTATTTAGAGGTCAGATAAGTTGGACAGCTCATAGGAAGGAGTGGGGCCACAATAAATACTTGTGTTTTCCAATGAAAATACAGTAAGTTGCAGAAAACAACCTTATTACAACATCGAAACACCGGTCTGATGATCACACGCTTCAGCTGGCTCTCAAACTTCTGCCCAATTAGAAACAATCCACCAGCAGGCTTAACTTYAAAAAATAACAGCAGATTACTCAAGAATAGTTATTAGTTCATGATTAAATCTTTGCAAAAGTTTGGTGACGCTAAGCTTTTCTGCGCGCACCTTAATCAGCATGATTACAACCCGGCTTCTCCCGTAAATCCCTCACAAAATCTCACCGAGTAGTCAGTGTTCAGCCCTAATCAAAAGGATTGCATGATGAGATACTGAGTCTCATTAAATCACAAAAAGTAAACCAAGCTGCAGAAAAGTTTTTAGAACAAAAGTTTTCTTCTCATGTTTATGAAAATGAAAAACCTACGGAAAGGATTTAAAGGAATTCCTCCTTGTTGTAACTCCACAAGCCCCTCTTTCACCCTTTTTCTGAAGCCTATCTCAGATCAACTTGTTTTGAGGCTGTCTCTTTAAACGCAAAAGAGACACTTTACGCCCCACTTGTCCAGCTTCCAGAGCGGTCCATTCCAATTTGATGGAGAGGCTTACAACTATATGAAAAAAAACTGTGAAAAATACGAAACAAACAGGATTTAAAGGTTTCTGCACAGCACCAGGAGAGACTAAATTCAACTTTTCTGCACTCCTGGAGACTCCAAGTACACAACAAAATGCATTTAATGGTTAAAAAGGTGGACTTTGCATGATATGTCCCCTTTAAAAAACTGAAATTATTTCAGTTGATGATGCAGTCAATGCTATTTCTGTGCATTTTTGCTCCCACATGAAGCTGATTTGCATTTGAAAGCTAAAGCATTACCAAACCCATGATAGATTAACAAACTGCATTTATATTCTGAGTAGATGGTGACATTTTGCATTTATTCTGTTAATCTTACATGACATTCAGAGCTGCGGGGCTGAACAGCGCTGCAGTGGTAAACATCAGTGTGGGTTTAGCCACGTCTTTTAGTTAGCTGGTGGTAATGCACCTGTCACCGGCTGTGAAACGGGACAGGCTCAAGCCTCCCACAACCATCTGAAGGTTAAAGGTAATGGATAAATTTACAGCAGCAGCCAGTGAATCAGATTATTTGTTTACACTTCTGTTYCATACGAATGTGAGGAGTTTGTGTTTTTCTTTTGCTGGGTAGATGATCACCTCTGGCTGCTTATTCTGCTGCTGGTGAGGTCATGGCAGTTTGCGTCAGACAACCATGTTTCATGCAGCGCTCCGGCAGCTTTACYGACTTGTTGAAATATAACATTTTGCACAAATTCATTGTCTGTGGAAATGAAATCCTACTCATTGCTTGAACGTTTGCCTGTTCTTCAGAATCAGAGAACAGAGGTGCATAAAGTACTTGAAAAAATTACTATGTAAACGTAAAAATAACTTTACATTAAACGACTTTGGTAAAAAAAAAATTCACTGATAAGAAAATCACTTAGGTAAAGGTCATACTKCTAAKAATCRGGAAAGCAAAAGTACTTTTGCACACTCTGAGAAATGAAGTGTTGAATATACTCAACCAAACTGGCTCCACTSACCTGAATTGGGTGAAACCAGTAAACATAACTTGGTTAAGTCAATTCAACACTTTGTTTTTTACTCCTTTCGTGATGAGTTCTGGTCATATTTRAATTTTTAGAGAGGAACAAGGTGTTAAAWTTTRAAGTAAAAGTGTCGTTTTTATGTTTGTAATGAAWTAAAAGAAAAATKATTTWAAAAAATTTACTAAGAACTGCAACRAAGTAAATGTGCTTTACCTTCGGTTTAAAAATGAACGACGTCATCTTTAAGCGCTCAAGGAATCCAAAACAAGCTTTGCTAATACAAGCTAAAAAATATATAAGATAAACCGTTGATGAATAAATAACAACAAATTATGAGTATTATTTACAGAGTTCCTATTAACTGAATAAACGCTCAACAAGACAAACTAAATCAGGCTATTTGAGGAAATGAAAATAGGAACAAATACATCTAAAAGTCCTTTTGTTCTGACTTTGGGCGGATCTAAAACCAGATACAAGTGGGTGGGTGTGAACTCCCAAGTTTTTCCCACTGAAGTAAYGCAGAGTTCTTACAAAAACATCCTCACGAGTTAACCGCTAACGTTCACAAAATTACACCGTTTATTCTGATTATTGAGATGATTAAAAATCTGCTTTAGAACAAGAGAATAACTTGTAGCTTAGCTGTGTTTTCTGTTTAAAACTTAATAACGGATCATATCTTCTGTCATTTGACACAACCTGGCACCTGTCACCTTGATACTAGTATATTGGTAAGAAGCTGCTTCGAATAAATCAGCAGAATTTGCCTTCATTCAATGACATAAAATTGCAAGTTGTTTTTAGGCGCTGGAGAATTGTGCATTTCACACATTTTACCTCTGAATGTTGCAGCTCTGTTGAGGATAAATTGCTTTCCCTTCTTTTTACACACCAGTGATTCACAAATACAAACAGTTGCCAAGTTTCTCACATTAAATGTGTTGTTAAAATGGCTTTTTTTTTATTATAAGGATTTCTTGACTTTATATTTGGCAGCGTATAATAAATAAAGTCAAGCAGAGCTAACAGTAAACCTAGGCAGTCACGCTGGACATTTTTTTTATCATTACAACAAGTGATAAAAGGGGGTTTTGAATTGACTAAAGGTGCTAATAAAATGTTTGGACAAGCGATGGACAATGCTTATGAACTTACTAATATTGTTATTAAGTCTTTAATTCAATTTGACCAAAAATGCTGAAAGAGATCATCACCTACCTCCTTGGTTTTATCCATGGCCTTTAAAATGGACACATTCAGCTTTTCCAGTGCAGACAGAACATTAACATACTCTCCCAGATGTGGAGTGAAATACTCTGTTAGAGAAAAACAAGACCAGTCTGTCTGATTTAGCACTGATTGGTGGTGTTAAGCACAAAACAGCTTGATGCAGTGTAGTTTAGCTCTAGTCTCATAATTCCGTTCAGATAAGCATCAAACAATATTAAATAAATATACACTTTTAAAACGTATCTGTTTCGAAGGTTTTAATAGCAATGATGATAAAATAAAACAAAACGCAAACTCACCCGAGAGCTCGTTTATGTCCAGGTTGCTGTGGGGATGATAAAAATAAGACAAAATGAGGGATGTGTCAAACAGATGTTAATAAAAAGTTTTAAAATGTGTTTTTTTAGCCCTATGAAAAAGACACTTTCAGGTCTGCAGAGCTTTTCAGGCAGTGAGATAAAGATGTGGAGGAGAAGATGTGATAAAGAAACGGATCGTTACTCTTCTGGAAACGATTAACGCTGGTCTCCTAATTTGATCCTGCGTGGCAGCGTGATAATCTGTTGGAACTGCTGCACATGGGGATGATATGGTGACATTACAGGTTGACCTTCTGATATGTGTCATTTGCAGCAAAATTACTTACTCCTTTAAGACGTTTCAGGGTGAAATCTTAGCAAGCAAAGCTGACTCACACAAAATCATWCATCACTGGATAGGCTAAAATCTTTGCCAATTGAAAATCAGTATGTCTTCATGTCTTTGTTTTAACAATTCATCAACATCTCCAAGTAGACTACAGTAAAACAGAACCTGAGGATCCAACTTGTTTATTAAAAACAAATTGTAAGTCAAAGTCAAATCCCACAAATAACTCAAAATAGTCATTTTTTATAGTTTTAACTGAAAGTTTTACTTCTAGCCTCACATCTTAGAGCCCTTAAACACCAAAACTGAAAAAAAATTAATTGAACATGATCTAATCTAATCCAGCATGTGCTCCAAACATGCAAACACAATGTTCATGTTTCTTTGTAACAATGTGTTGTTTTGAGCCAAAGACTATAATTTTCCACTGAAAGCCTCACTGCCAGTTCTTAATCCTGCCCATCTGTTTTATAGCTGAATCAGAGAAGTGCTGAACCCAAACCCACAGTTTTTTTTCCWCATAATTTCTTTGCCATCTTTGTGAAATCCACTTTTCAACTCCTCTAACAGTTCTTCTTATGGAGCCAATAAAGAAACACATTACATGAGACAGGCTACTGTTTTGGTTTTATAACTGATTCTCTACTTTAGGCCTTATGTAAATTTACACTGTATATATTAACTTTTTTTGTATGCTAAAGAGTAAAAAAAATCTGAGGATCTTAGGAAGGAGGCAAATATTGTACGAATATTGCACAGTCATAATAATTAGCAGAGGTGGGCACAGGCCCCCTAAAGCACTAATAGGGGAACTAATTTCCTGATTAGTGCTTTAGGGCTTTTGCTACTAACTGAGGTTTTTAAATGTTACTGATCAACATTATTGTTAACAGCTAAAGGTGAAAGCTTTCACACACTTTGTTCACATGAGTGTCACTTATCCACATGGTGATATATTGACAGTAAATATAGTCGCATGTTAACTTTGAACTATGTTCCAGGGGGTCAAGTGTATTAGTGTTTTAGAATTATCTTTTGCTATAAATTTTTCACTGCGTTAGTGCTTTAAGATTAGTGGACCTAAATATTTGAGTTAGTGCTTTAGGATTAGTGGACCTAAATATTTGAGTTAGTGC